TTACTTCCATTTGATTTGTTACTTCAGATTGATTCATGGGTCATTCAAGAATAAATGAGAATTATAATTACAAATCTGTATTCTAGGTCTTTTTCAAAAGCAATTTTTGGTGATTCTTACAATAGCAGGACAGCCGTATGAGTTTTGTATTATAATTGTCTATCTTCGGCATGCTTTGGATATTGTTACGACGCAGGGTTTTAGTTTTTGATTCATTAATTTATGCAAACTACAATCATAGTTGAGAAAACTAAAATCATGTTCAAAATCACTGTGAAGGAAGGTTAATTTTATATCATTGAAATTGTGTGGTTGCAAAAAGTAAAAGATATTTCAGTTGAGAAATATATATGACTTTGACTCTTCTAAAAAAACCACCACATTCAATCGATATAAAAGTACCGTCTCTCGAACACTACATGTATTGCATAGTGTCGGATAATACTGTAAAATATATAAGAGTAGATTAATTTTCAATCGATAGTTAGAAAATGAACAAACTAACCCCAACTTAATGTGATAATAGATTAATGTGAATTGAAAAACCTGTTTGTAACATAAACAATTGGCGTTAGGTATCTCTTATGACTCCTACAAGAACAGACATTTATTTTGAGAAATTTATGTTGAGAACTTGTAGGAAAAAAGGTATCACTAGAAGATAAAGAAATCCAAATTGTAGAAAATGCAGGTATCTCAAAAACAGGCAAATGTTTCAGATCACTGGATATTATTCATTAAGGCGGATTTCCACCAAACGGAGTCGTTTGCGTCTAGTTTAAAACATAAACATTGGTCCAGCTGTTATTATCATCATTATTATTATTTTACGTAGTATGCGCTGGTCAGGTCCTTTCTTCCAAAGCCCTGATACATTCGGGAGGGCGCGCCAGCATTATCAACCAACGACCGAGAATCATGTGCCCTGAGCAAGCGCAGTGAGCCAAGAATGACACCCTTCTGCATCTGTCCGGCTAAGATTTCTGCCTTAGTGCGGCAAGCCGATGTGGTTTTAAGATTCGAGAGTAGAGAGGGAATCATTCCACCAAGGACTCCAATAATCAGAACAACTTTCTGGACAGAGTGGTCTGGATAGAGTCTGCGGAGTTCGAAGAGAAAATCTCTATATTTTATCCGTTTTTCCTTTTCTTTTCGGACGATATTCGTCTCGTCACGACAAATATCGTCTTACTCTGGTGGTCGAGAAGAACTACATTAGGCTTATTAGCGTATATGAGCCTGAGGGTGGGCAACGAATAGTTGCAATAAATTCGTCACTTCTCGTTCCCCACAACGGATTCAATATCCCCCGGACCGTAGGGCAACACCGGTATCTCGTCAGTACCACAAGAGTGCCGTATATGATAATATAGCAATCTTAGGGCCGCGTTATGTCGATGGATATAGGCCGAGACCGCATATGCTGGACATGTTGATGGCAAGTGCATTTGGGTCTCGGACGCCTCGCGGCAGGCCCTACATCTTGTGTCAGGAACCTCTATACCTATCACGCGACTGCGGTAGACACCATCCTGGCAAGCCATTATGAACCACTCAGGTTCCGACTCCAGCCCACTCGACCCGAGGAAAGCTTATTATTATTGTTATTATTATTGAGAAAATATCCTTGCTTATTATTCTATTCCTGACGAAGAAAAACCCAAAAACACAAAAATAATGAAAATTTGTCCAGCTGTCCCTCAGTTCCTTTATTATTATCATTGATAAAATATCATTTTTCAATACTTAATGTATTTCCGATGAAAACAAATGCAAAAAGACGGAAAACATAGAAATTGGACCAGCTTCAGTTCTTTCATTATTATTATTATTAGTGTTTTTGATCAAATATCATTTTTCAATACTTATTACTATTTCCGACGAAGACAAATCCAAAAACACAAAAATCATAAACATTTGTCCATTATTATTGTTATTGTTAAAGGATCGATCGCAGCTTGAGAAATGGTTCTTATGGAGATTATATAGGTAAAAAAAATTCAATACTTATCAATTTATTCCATTTGTCCATTTGGTGGAAATCTGACTAGATTGAAAGTTCTAAAATCACTTGAAGATTATCGTTTCAAAAAAAAAAAAAACAGTGAGTAGGTAGTTTTTAATTATGTCTCTTTGTAAATCGCTACACATTCTCTAGTGTTGTGAATATCAAAGAATTCATTACTTCACAACTTTCCTTATTTATGTTGAAGTAGTTTTAGATCAAACTATTCAAATTTGTATACTATTGTTAGCCGTCAATGTGACAGCAAAAAGTCAATTTTTATAATATCGCAAGAGAATTGTTGCCATATTTGTTGTAAAGATTTATGTAAGGAAGCTGAGCAGAAGGAAGAGGAACAAACGTTTTTACGAAATTGCTAATTCTTCATATAATATCAAATGCATTTCCGGGCATAAAAAATGTTTCTAAAAACATGTGCAAAGAGCAAGAAATATTCTAAAATTGTTCGTCTTTGTCGATATTCTGTGGTACATATTATCATCTGAGAAATAAACAAACTTTTTCATTTCTTTATGAATTGCGATTTTGATCGTTCATGATTTTTTTGAATAGGACCTGAAAATGTAACCACTAAACGCAACAAAAAAATATATTTTCAGAACACTTAGCCGTTCGTATTTATATTTGTTGATCAAATGAATTAGGATTAGAATCATAGACATTCTCTTTCTGCTGCAGTACCCGTCAAAAGTTTACGTGAAATTGTGCATATCAATGTTAGATTTAAGATATTTATGCCAGACGGCCTATGGGAATCCCTGTAAGCGGAACAGTGTGTAATATGAATCTTTGGGAAATGAAGGTTTTTGGCTTTCTACTTCACCATCTTAATACAAAAAAAGTAGGAATCTTTCAAATAATTTATTATTTCATTGAATAAAAGAAACATGATATTGCTTCTAAAGCAACTGAAGTTATTTTACCAGGCATGGATGCATATATTCTGTTTTTGATGATCCTATATTCTGAATACGTTTCAGTGAAGTGTTCTGCAGGGAGAGGAGCCTATATGCTTTTTTATGAACGGGAGAGTACCAATGGTAGTTGATTTTTCATTATGTTAATTTTTCTGTAATGTTATTTGACTTCATTGTGATATTGACATAATTGTGTTACTATTATTGTTACTGTATTAAAATTGTTCAATAAAATTATTTTTCATTTGAAAAACACCCAGCAGGCAAAAAACGAAGTTGAAATTTGATACTCTTCCATAAATAACAATTTGTCATAGGTAGAATATTTTCACTTTTGGAGAAGCGATTATTTTGTTCTTCCATATTAATGACACTTCTGACACCAAAAATCATGAAGTGCAATATTGACGTTTTAATAAAGCATTTTAGTTTGCCGAGAATGTGAAAGTAAAATAAATATGGATGTGAGAATATTTCACACTGTTCTGACTAATAGATCACATTCATGTCTCTGTTATTTCTTGAAAAAAATCATTCTATTCTATTACCAGTGAATGTTGTTCGTCTCTTTCTAGACGGTTATTTGTACCTTTGTAAATTTAGGAACTTTATATTCCAAATCTTTATAAATGCCTTTCCTCAGCTTGGCTATTTTCTGTAAATAGTATAATTGAACATTATACTCAATGTTGACAATAAAATGATATTACAGATCGTTCATTTATTTACTGTCATTTCGGCTGTTTTAATGCATTTTTCAGACAGAACTCCTTTTTTCTATAATTTTAAGGAAGCAAGTACAATGTATAGAAGGTAATCGTGAAACTGAAAATTATTGAAAAATATAACTACCCGAGGTACATTATTGAAAAAATGTATCAGCTTCCTGAAAACAAATTTAATTATTTTTTCTGTACTTAAGTTTTTGGAGACACAATAGATGAAACGGATTTTTTATTGAGTAAGGTTGAAAATAATAATCCATTACTATGATGTAAGAATTGTAGCCACAAAAAATTGCTTGGAATAATAACATTAAAACCTATCTTTTCAAAAATGGGAAACAATGTTCCCATGTATCAAATAAAAAATTCAAAAATTTTCTGGATGGTAGGAAAGTATATTTTTTACAGAAACTGTATTAAAAGCAACAACCCACTTTCAATAATATTTTCAAATGAAATATTTCAATTACCTAATCGCTAGAGCCTAGGAAAATAATCACTTACTACCTGAAGAAAAAGAAAATCCAAAATGTATTTTAGAATATCATCTTAACATTTCTTTCAATAATTATGTTCCTATCTAGTCAAGTCACACAATCTACAATTTTGTTTACTGTGTAGAGCGGAAATTATTTATCATTTTCACAATTGGGAACATTTCAAGAAACCATTTTTAATAATACAGATTATTAAAATACACACGGATACACAAACAGAAACATTTGAATCAGAGATGGTCTGATGATGTTTAGCCAATAAGGGGGTTGGAGTCATGATATCCATCAATCATGAGGGGAAAGCAACGCATATGTTACTTGATTTATGAATCGTAGCCAATATAAAATCGTTCGCTACAATTTATCGATTGATACGAGGTTTTTAATTCACAGTATTGATTGAGAACATAAAATTGTGGTCCTGAAACATGAGTTGGTTAGGAATAAAAACTAAGTTGAATATCTAGAGGAAATATTTTTCTCACTAACTAGCATCAGGATAATGATGGTAATACTTGGAGTGGTAATACAAGATGTTCATTTTCAATTGTGGAAGTTCGCAATTCCCTGTTGGAAGATCTTATATATGGCTAATTTATCGGTAACTGTTCCTTTGCCGCTCTCAACAGCATCTCGATTTGAAATGGTACATTTCTTTGGCATACAATTATTATTACTTAAATGTGAGCCGTGTTTGAACATTGTCTAATTAATTTGAGTTTTTTGGCTCTCAATTCTACTGCTGGAAGACAATTTGAGTTTACTCTGTACCTAGAAAAATTCGTCCAGATAACTTCTACTTGGTTTACGACCAGTCTCATTAAAAATTGTGATGAAAATCAAAAACTCCAGTAATATTCATTACTACACCAAAGGTTCCAAACAGTGCATCATAAGTAAACAGTACATAGTTCATGGTCAGAGTTTTCAATTTGGAGCAAATACTATGGTTTGAAAATGGTGAAATGAAAAAAAAAAAACAGTAGCAATCACAATAGTGAAGCGTTTTTCTATGTAGTTGCTAGAATCCTCCAAGGCGATGTAACAATCCGAACATCTGCTAGAATGTGAAGGTTTTAAACTTTTATCGGATACTTCGTGTTCTCTCGGTGAATCTTCCTAAACCTCAAAGGTAGCGTCATCGTTTTTGGAGCCGTTGTAAAAGCTCTGGGATGGAACTCCATTTCATTTGTGTCGTGATCGATTAGTTCCACTTCGAAGTTGTATATTATGTTAGCAATCGCTGATTTGATGCTCACCGTGGCGAACTTCACTCCTGAAACAGGCATTACGAAACAGGTTAAGGGTCTTCAAAACATAAAAACAAACTATTAGCCCAAACCAACATTTCTTTCTCGTTTTAACTTCATGAAGTATCTGTATCTGTAGAGTAGGGAGGGCGAGTGTAGGCCTACAGTACTTAGGCCACATGTAACCCATTGTACATCCTCCAGAGGAGTTGCCCTCCTAGGTCATCTTCTAGCTTTTGTGAAGAATAGGGATATTGCAAATTCATAAATGTTAGGTAAGTGGAACGTGAAATAATTTGAAATTTTCGACATTTTTGAAAATATTTTGAAATATCTCGCGTTTGGTACAATCGATACTGTAGAATATTAACCGAGCAAGTGGATATTCGAACCCAAACACCCAGTCAATTGTCATAAGAGACATTTGACATATATAGTTAGTATAGTATACTAGCTAGAAAGTAGTTGATTGATGTCGAAAGTAAAATGTGAAGAATATCTGTGGAATTATAGAATAAAGGATCATCAGGAAGCAGTCTGGTCTTTGAATACATGACAGATACTGTAGTCAACATACCTAAACACATTCTTGGTCCGCCTCCGAATGGTAACCATGAAAATGGTTTGACTCGCTCTGGGTTATCGGGAGAAAATCTTTCCGGAATGTACTTTTCCGGTTCCGGATAATTTTGGGGATCTGTCTGTACAGCGTAAACTGGGATGAACACTGGAATGCCCTTTGGTATTACGTCATTTGTCCCTGGGATTTTGTAATCTTCGAAACAAGCTCTGCTGACATGCGGCGCTGGGGGATATTTTCTTAATGTTTCTGTAAAAATCAATATCAGAAGTAAGTAATAAATATATGTATACATCCGGTAAGGACATTTGTAACAATAGGTGTGACTCAGACTGGTTGCAACGGTATAGAAGAAAACAACAGAAAACTGAATCGGTTTTCCTAGTATATTTCGTGAAATAATCTACAAAAATCAGTCAGTATTATCGTCAGTGTATTCCAAGTTGAAGTACATGCCAAACTTGGAATATATCTGCCAGAGATGTATTCATTTATTTATTTATATCCAAACAGACCTAATCGGTCTCAATACAATCTTACTTGAAGCTTGAGCATCATACTATTGTAAATCATACCCTAAAGAAAATAACGCTGACCGCTAATGGTAGCCATAAACCGATTGTGACGTAGCTAAGAGCGCGCGAATGTACGATGTTCGCTGCCGCTCTAGATGTAGCGAGAATAATGCTAAAGTCTTCGTTGGAACTCTGAGGAATGTTTCAGGCGCTTCGATTGCCAAATATAAGCGTCATCCACTCGCCCATCGAGACAGTCAAGTGAAAGAGTTACAGTGCGGTACAGGAAGCGATATATTAAGGCGATAGACATTCGAATAATAGTTGAAGTGTTAGTTGAAGTGTTTGTTGTATTCAAAGTGAAATAAAGTTAAGTTTGATTATTTTTCAGTGTAGTGGTAAACCCACGGGAAAAACGTAACAATGCTCTCTTATCCAAGACATAAAGCAAGGAAATGCTTCTGAATTCATGAAAAATGAGTCTCAAGAAGGGCCCTAGTAGTTGTTCCTAATCGAAGTATATTTAACATAGCTGGTGTTCGAGTTGTGCGAAGAGTTACATCGAATTGATTCAAAGCTAACAGTTCAGGAGAATTTATTATATTGTTGATATTTGGTAAAGAAAAACCAACATGCAAAGGGTAGCCAAAGATAAAGTTTTAAATCCACTTCCCTAATTCTTGTTCGTACTGTATTATAATCTGTTCTAGAGTGATATTTTTTGAAATACAAGTATCTCAGTAGTTTGTTTTGTATTTTTTCAACTTATGAAATATTGTCTGAATTTCTCCTGACCATATTCCCAAGAACTAATCTCTTCTAAAAATACACCTCTTTCAATTTAAACAAAATTTCTATGATAACGTACTGTCATCGATGACATGAGTAGATTTAAACAGAAGGCCTATTCCACGGGTCAGTTGTGATCCTGTCTAATTTGAAACTATTGCAAAATAATGTATATCAGCAGAGATTGAAAAGATAAAAAGCAATTTAAGTTAAAAAAAAGTAGTGGAATTTAATCGTTCGAGTCGTAACTGTCAAATTCTTCTTCTTGTTCTTCTTCTTGATCTTCTTGCTCTTGTTCGTCTTGTTCTGCTTCTTGTTCTATTTCATCTTCATCCTGAGTACGTGTAAACTGCGTTAATAGCGATGTATCGCACACCCCTACACCCCTTTTTGCACTTGCAAAAAATTGTGTTCAGTAGTTTTTCCGGCGTAGGTGGAAGTAAAGTTTGGACTGGTTCTAATTTATTATTATGATATATGAAATCATATTTTGAACAATCTTACTTATTTTCAGCTTGGTGGAAATTTAGGTAGTTTTACTCTTATTTTTTGGTCTAATTTGACCGGACTATAGTGCTAATGAGAGAATACGACAAATATCTTATTCCGAAACTTCGAAGTTCGCCATTGAGGATAAAAGTGTACCATGTTATTGAACTTTTATACTATAACTCTTTCATATATTACATTGTGTAGCGTTCCTATGAATGATATCTGACACAGTTCTATAACAACTGTTTGGAATGTCTGACCAGCCAGTCGAACTGAGGAAACCACTGTTGTAGCAACAGTCGCCCGCGACAAAAATCTTCGAAATGATTCTCGTTTTGACAACTCAAGTTTTTATTTTGTCGAAATTGTCACAGCTGCTGTTTTGTCGTGGTTTTGTCCGTTTGGTGGAAATCCGCCATTTCATTATTAGCCTAATATATGACATCCCTATTAGAAATTCATGATTAATATCATGACTTTGCATTTTGGTATATTCGCCAATGGTTTAATGGTTCAACCAATAGCTTTGAGAACTAACCTAAAACATTATGGTTTTTGTATACTTGTCTAGAACAAACTCACCTCTCATAACCATTTCTGTATAGACCATTCCAGAATTCACCGTCTTGTAGGGTATGAACTCGTGGGCATCCAATATAGGCGTTATCTCGTCCCTCACTTTCTTTTGGATAAAAGGGTTCTTTGCGAGTTCATATAACGAAAAAGAAATAGTTGCACTAGTTGTTTCGAAACCAGCTATGAAAAAAGTTATAGCTTGGGCAGCCATCTTCTCATCATCTGACAAAATACATTATCATAGATTTTCATCACATTCACACTTTATTGTGAGATAATTAGTTGACCTAGTCATTAACCTCAGGTATAAATGTTCGTTAAACTCAGGTATAAATAACTGTCATTAAGTAGTTCCTAGAATATAATTAGTTTCTAGCCAAATATTTTAGCAAATAGCTAAATAATATGATTGAATTTTATTATTTTTATAGTGTTAAGATGAATGCCGTAGCAGGTCCAAGTAATGTACAAAGAAAGCGGAAATTTATGTCGTTAGAAGAAAAACAGATTGTCTGTAGACAGGAGTTCTTGCCACATAGTCGTACGGTCAATAATAAGTACTATCTTGAAGTTATGCGGCGCTTTCAAGAAGCAATACGTCTGGTACCTATTGTGGAAAACCACAATTCATGGCTTTTGCATCACTTTAATGTACCTGCTCACATGTCATTGCTTGTTCGTACGGTGGCCTCAGCCACCGTATTCATCAGATTTTGCCCCTGCGAATTTTTCCTGTTCCCAAGAGTGAAGATACCTATGAAGGTTCGCCATTTTGCGACAATTGAGGAGATAAAAACTGAATTGTTGAGAGAGTTCAAGGACATACCAAAAAGTGAATATCAGAACTGCTTCGAGGATTGGAAAAATAACTAGCACAAGTATATTATATCTGAGAGGGACTACTTCGAAGAGGAGAAAATAGAAATTGATGGATGAATAAATATTTTCTGAGAGAAATAAAAATTCATCTAATTTTTTGAACACAGAGTATTTTTGTAACTTCAATTTTCTACTGACAAGTTGTACAAGAAAGAACTATTGAGAACACGTCTAAAAGAGGAGGCGAACATAATACACTTTCAAAGACCTACAAAAATGTAGCAAAATGAGAACCGTATTTAACTGAAAAAAAATGAAAAAATCATAAATTTTGCAGAAGAGACTTGTAGTAAATGAACAAAAAGGGGTTCAAGATCTCTCAATGAAGAAATAATTATCTGAAATGCAACTTAAAAATATTCAAACAACCTATGGAAAAGAAGTATATTAATAAGAAAAAAAATCGCCGAAAATAGAAAATGAAAAATTCTATAAATTTAATTCAAAACACGTTTCACTAGTTTCATCGCTTGAAAATGAAGATAAAAACATGAAGAATACTCAAACTAACGAATATCTTCGGACAATTACGAGTGATTTTTTAGGAGGCATAGAGTTTGATTTTCAAAACAACACAATAAATTTGAAAAAATTGATGAAATCTTTATTGGAATCGGTAGAACGATCAATATAACTTAATGTTTGAAGATGATTTAATGCAAATGTAGCCCGCGGCTCCGATTTAGATGGTCCATGCGCAAGGTCCAATTTTGGCACACTCTCTCTAACATTGGAATCCAAAGACGTTAAATCACATGATCTAGGCGGCCAATTGACGGGCCCCAAACGTGAGATAAACTGTTCACCGAAGGCGGCTCTTAATTCGGCGATTGTTTCGCGTGCCGTGTGGCATGTGGCACTGTCTTGTTGAAACCACATGTCAGGCATGTCCAATTCTTTCATTTTGGGCAACAAAAAGTCGTCAACCATCACACGGTAGCGCTCGCCATTCACAGTAACGTTCCGGCCATTGTCGTCTTTGAAGAAGTACGGCCCGATGATGGCACCGACCCACAATCCACACCAAACATTGACTTTTTCGGGATGCATCGGTAGCTCTTGCAATGCTTGTGGCTGGTCTTCATTCCAGAACCGGCAATTTTGCTTGTTAACGTATCCATTCAACCAGAAATGAGCCTCGTCGCTGAACACCATTTTTCGATAAAAATGTGGATCTTCCTCCAACTTTACCAGCGCCCATTCACCAAATGTTGTTAGACGTTATGGGAGGTCGTGTGGCTTCAATTCTTGCACCAGCTGTATCTTATAAGGTTTTACACCCAAATCCTTTTGTAAAATTTTCCACGTAGAGGAGCAACAGAGGCCCAATTGCTGCGAACGGCGGCGAATCGACATTTCACGGTCATCACGAAATCATTTCTTGCACATTTGTAATATCGCGGGTTCTTGAGGCCATATATTCTGGAGTGCATGGTCCGCGACCATGAAAGGAAGAGGAATTGAGATATTTCTTTTCAAAAAAGCTGTCCAAGCGGTCGAAGAGCTTGGTTTGATTTTTGACTCTGAACGAGGTACTTACTAATAGGTATAATACATAATATACCAAGTTATTCCAAAAGTAACATCGAAAAATGTTTCTATTTATTCGGACCTTTTTCAAGTCATTTGAAAAGTCTGTTTTATTATAGATATGTTTTGAAAATGTAGGTTTTGCAGATCAAATAATTTATAAATATTACTGGAGTTTTTTCCCAACACCAAATCGTTATTTTCAACACCTCGACACGTGTTTACATATCTACCTCATTGATCTTATTATTCTTCTTCAAGTTGATAAGTATGTCGACGAAATCATATCTGGTGATATTATTATCCTTTCTGTATTTCACGGTCTTCAGAAACTCTTCTCTGAGGAAAGTCTCCGACCATCCGTCGACGAATTTGAGTCTGAAAATATGTACGAGAGTGTGAAACATCATGTAACAGCTTGTGGATATGGACCTGGAAGGATCGTTGAAATCGAAAATTCTTTCAGCGGCTTTTTTAAATCCAGAATGTTCATCATCAAAGCAGTCTCCCTTCATGCCAAAAGCGGTGGATGTTATAACCTCAGCCCCATATAGGGCTGCTTCATGCCTAGCGTTCACCACGTCGTCTGTTTCCAAAATTTTCCCTATATGCCGAACCATATCTAGACTAGTATCCACGACTATGTCGTACATTTTTTTGATCTTGCTGCTGCTATATCCTGGAGTGAGTAACTTCCTGTAGGCCTTCCACTCAGCGTCTCTCATCATGGGAAGAAGACTGGATCCTAGATCGCTTTTCCTCTGAGCCATAGTTCTGTCTGAGAAATTACTGAAATCGGTCACCAAGACGTGCTTTATCACTTCCAGGTCTTTCAGCAGTAGTGCTGGCTTGTCCACAAGGAAGATCCCCAAGTAGGGACCTTCCATTTTATCGTAGATATCTTTGAGGCTCATTCCGATGTTCTTTTTGAAGGTTAGGACATCTTTCAGGTTACCAAAGAATGGTAAAGGTTTCTCAAAAGGAATGCCTCTATTTTTCCAATAGTCGAAGTTCCTCGTCCAATAAAGATATAGGAGGATGATGATTGCCGACAAGCAGATTGTGATGTAGATGGTAAAGGTAGGAATTGAAAACATCTGGAAGGAAACAAAAGGTTAATAATAAGAGATCTGGTCATCTGAACTATCGAGGAAAAATAAAAGCGGTTGCTACAGATGTGGTTGATCTTATTCTATTGCTTTGGAGTAGTGAAGTGGACTTGTGAGAGCCTCCACTGGAGTTCGCATCCCAAATCATTTCTTGCACATTTGTAATATCGCGGGTTCTTGAGGCCATATATTCTGGAGTGCATGGTCCGCGACCATGAAAGGAAGAGGAATTGAGATATTTCTTTTCAAAAAAGCTGTCCAAGCGGTCGAAGAGCTTGGTTTGATTTTTGACTCTGAACGAGGTACTTACTAATAGGTATAATACATAATATACCAAGTTATTCCAAAAGTAACATCGAAAAATGTTTCTATTTATTCGGACCTTTTTCAAGTCATTTGAAAAGTCTGTTTTATTATAGATANACAATATTGTATTCAGACCTATAACCTCTTCGGGCGTGACAATACTGTATTGTGACACAATACTGTATTGTGACACAATATTGTAATGTGATACAATATTGTATTCAGACCTATAACCTCTTCGGGCGTGACAATACTGTATTGTGACACAATACTGTATTGTGACACAATATTGTAATGTGATACAATATTGTATTCAGACCTATAACCTCTTCGGGCGTGACAATACTGTATTGTGACACAATACTGTATTGTGACACAATATTGTAATGTGATACAATATTGTATTCAGACCTATAACCTCTTCGGGCGTGACAATACTGTATTGTGACACAATACTGTATTGTGACACAATATTGTAATGTGATACAATATTGTATTCAGACCTATAACCTCTTCGGGCGTGACAATACTGTATTGTGACACAATACTGTATTGTGACACAATATTGTAATGTGATACAATATTGTATTCAGACCTATAACCTCTTCGGGCGTGACAATACTGTATTGTGACACAATACTGTATTGTGACACAATATTGTATTCAGACACTATAACATCTTCGGGCATGACAATACTTTATTGTGACACAATATTGTATTCAGACGCTATAACATCTTCGGGTATGACAATACTGTATTGTGACACAATACTGTATTCTGACGCAATATTATCTTCACAATAGCATCTTCGGGCGTCGAAACACTGTATTCTGACGAAATTGCATGTTCGAGTGTGACAATACTGTATTGTGACACAATACTGCATTCTGACGCACTATCATCTTCACAAAACAGTATTGTGTTACAATAATGTGACGCAATAGCATCTTCATGCGTCACAATACTGTATTCTGACGGAATAGCATCTTTGGGCATGACAATACTATATTCTGACACAATACTGTAATAATAATGATAATAATAATAAATCTTCATTTCCCGTTGACACTTACCTGTATGGGAATTGTCAAGCCTAATTTTGAGGTTATAAAATATGAATTTAAGATTAGGTAGTCACATACATTAATTTTCAATTAAAAATTCGAAAAGCGAATAAAACCATTTCTCCAATAAAAACGTTTCAAATCCTTTTTGAAATGTCTCACATTTTTATGCTGCTTAATGATATCTGGAAGTTTGTTGAAAATTCGTGGCACCATGTACTGGGGAACATGCAGTGAATACATGCAGTATTCACTTTCGCAAATGGAATATACATGGAGTGTATATTTATACTCATGAATATCTTCATTCAATTCGAACAACGATCTATTTTCAGGTACCTGCCAATATGCGTAGGTTAAATCTACAATGGACAAATATTGGACGTTATTATTGTTTTTTACAGTGTCTTCGATTTTCCGAGGCATCTCTAAGTCATTTTACATCACACTGTTCAAGTGACGCGCATCTAATCACAAACGCACCGTGCCGTCTTTTTTGACAGTTGTCATCAACGGGCTCAAGTAGGAATAGAGCACTTCTTAATTATTCCTCACTCCACCATTTCATCTATTTCCGCTTGAACGGCCGCTCTGTGAGCGGTTGGGGTAGGGTACTCAAAAGGCCTAGGGTTTGTTAAATTTATTGTATGCTGGAACTTACACGTCAGTCCAGATTTGTCCGAAAACAGCTGTTCATGTTTTTTCAAAATAGTTTTAAAAATAACAGCCTGATCGAAATATAGCAAATATTTACGTTTGTTATCACCAGAAAGCACGGGTGTCATATTGTGCTATGCACCACTACTTTGATAAGGCTAGCAGTGCTGTGCCTCAACCAAAGTAACCGATACCCAAGGCATATTGTCACAGTATGTGGGTTTTCCTCCAACTCAAGAATCACATCTAATTTNAAACATTTTTTAATAACGTTCCTCTTTCATCTCAAAGTACTAATGTAGGCTCTATGTGACACTTTGTATAGGTATTAGGTACTATGTAGTGAAGTACCTTTTATCTAATCTTCGGCAGGTCTCTTGAAAACAGCACTACACACAGTCTATATTCTTACAACACAAGACTAAGACTAATGAATATATTCACTGGATATTCTGAAGATTAACAATGCCCCTCCATCGCCTCTTGATTGATTTTAATAATTATTTCTCGGTCAAAGGATGCTACAAACATCAAGTTTTCGGAATTGTTTGTCAAAATTGTTGTGGATTCGCAGTGATCTCTTGGGGGAGATTGTGGGAGAGAAAATTGAGTTGTTCTAAAAGAATTCACTGTCAATTATAGTTTCTGGTTGATTATTCAGCTTTATTCAACACTAATGGTCTCGTAAAGAAGCTGAATTGTTCTCTTTTTCTATGGCTTATGACAGGTTTACTTCTAAACTCCAATTTTACACTGAATTGGCCTCCCATAATCATAACATACCTGTAAAAAGACATTGCAGAATTAAACCATGTATCACATCAGGACTTATAACATCGATTCGAAAGAGAGATAAACTAAAAAAGAATTTGACACGCACTCCTTCAGTAGAGCTTAAAAAAGAATTTAACTTATATAGAAATAAATTGAACGCACTAATCAAAAANGATGACGAATTACTTGTTTTTCAGGAGAAATTAATCAAAATGATAATATTTATACTACTCAGATTACCGGTTTGGCAGCTCTTATTGGTTTTTCCAAAGTATTTTGTTTTCATCCTGGGATTTCTAGATGTTTTTTCAATTTGTCAGGAAAATTCTCACTAATTCATTATGATTAGTGGTTGGAGAATACAAGGTGTATCATTTTGATAATCGTTTACTTTTAAAATATTCTTAAGGTTGAATAATGTCGAGTTTGCTACATAGGAATTGATGGAGGATGTATTGAAATATACCCTTTTATGTGTGTGATGGAATGGGGAATGTTCCTCCTGACGAAAATCAAGTAGTTTTCATAAAAGAGCTCTGAAACAACGCATTTTAAACTTATCATTTCAACCGTTATCTTTAAAAAATATTTAAATACTTAAAAAAGAAGAATGAAATAATGCATTCAACATTCAAAGGGATTCGTTTCTATTTCACCATTTGGCAACATCAGTTATAGCTAAACAATGAATCTGTTACCAGTATGAGACAAACAAAGATGACATATTTCAGAGGCGTGCTGTTCTGTTTACTTATGTTCCGAGTTCCAAGACATTCTGTGACATATCACATTTTGTGCACCTTACTCTAGATAAATAAATAACAAAACAACTGTTGTTTATGTGGCTAGACAAAATATCTTGAAAGTTTGTTAATTTTACAGGAATCCCTTGAATATTGATATCACCTGTTAAAATAATATTTACATTAGGTTTATAAAAGTCGTCATAAACCTTCTGTATAGTTTCGAAAAATAGGATATGATCACCACACGGAGCACTAATTTGCAAGAAACAACACAAATCTCGAAGTGTTTTTCAATACAATATTGTGGCTAGATGATGACCTATGGCGATCAAGGACTCTACCCTTAATTTAGCATCAATGCAACGACGCGACATAATGTAACCATGACCAACAAGAGGCGTACGGAGCGAGACGGGACCGCGGTAGCTGATTCCTCGACTTGATAGTTTTGATGATGTCAACATGTTTTATATTTGATGATGATGTATTATAATAGAACAGTTGTTAGTAAGACCTGATTGGGGAAGGTCTCCTTTGTACAACTCCTAGGCAATAAACCTATTATCTAAGTATTCTGGTGTTTCCCTCATGGTATTTCCCTCATAAGGATTTTTTTGTCGAATAAGACTCAACCAATCATTATCATCACCACAGGGAAAGTCAATTCAACGCCGCCCTTCCTGCAGGAAACAAAGCGGGAATCAGCTTAGGCGAAGCTTTAGTCATTAGCACCACTTACTTCACATATCGCAAAGTTATAGGAGGAGAACATCTCAAAGGGCCCTTCCGCAAAGGGCCCAGCCTTTGACGTCGAGACGACTTCACACCGCACCGTCGATCTTAATTTAATTACCGTTCGAATTTCATAACATATGGGTCGTTTTAGGTTAAGGATATTCGTTTTAGGTTCGCGGTTACGGATATTTCAATTTGGTTTCATTCATTACTTAAAAAACAACAAGGTGCAGGCGGTTTCAGTCTGATTCGCCAAGAAACTAGCTGAAAACACTAAATTTTCAGATAGCGTTATATCGATATTTTTCGTCGAACGAGTTTACTCAAAGCTTCTGACTTTTGAAAGTTGTAATTCGTATAAGCTGACTTGTGGCTCTTGCCCAAAACTGTATATTTGCCAAACAGAGAGAACATTTTCCCAAAGAATTAAAGAGCATAGGAGTAGTTATGTAAATAGAAAGACCAATTCCACATTTGCAAACCACCTTTTAGTAGAAGAACATGAGTTCAATCATGTTACATTTAGAAGAGTAGATTTTGAAACTCAATCTTCTAGAATGTTTAGAAATCAATAGATTCCGGAATTCGGGTAATTTACTAAATGATCAATTAGAANAACAACGCATTTTAAACTTATCATTTCAACCTATTTCTTTGAAAAATTATTTAAATACTTAAAAAAGAAGAATGAAATAATGCATTCAACATTCAAAGGGATTCGTTTCTATTTCACCATTTGGCAACATCAGTTATAGCTAAACAATGAATCTGTTACCAGTATGAGACAAACAAAGATGACATATTTCAGAGGCGTGCTGTTCTGTTTACTTATGTTCCGAGTTCCAAGACATTCTGTGACATATCACATTTTGTGCACCTTACTCTAGATAAATAAATAACAAAACAACTGTTGTTTATGTGGCTAGACAAAATATCTTGAAAGTTTGTTAATTTTACAGGAATCCCTTGAATATTGATATCACCTGTTAAAATAACATTTACATTAGGTTTATAAAAGTCGTCAAAAACCTTCTGTATAATTTCGAAAAATAGGATATGATCACCATACGGAGCACTAATTTGCAGTTTTTCAATACAATATTTATCAAGTTTTATCTTTTTACATTTCAGTCCCAGTCTGGAGTATATAGCAACTCCTCCTTGATCATATAGGTTTCTATAGAAGTAGGTGCTCAGTTCAAATCCTCTTATGTTTTCTTGTGTATATAGTGTCTACTTTTGTATGTGTTTCAGAAAGGGAAAGAAACATAGTATCGTTATTAATGTATGTTTCTAACTGATGATTGAATAAGTATTCAAACTTTGTACGTTCAACAGAACGATTTGTGGATAAGAGGCTAGTCTGCTGCACGAGTTGACCCCCCCGCTTTTGAAAAAACTTACTAAGGCAAGCCCCTTCATCCAAAATCTGTGGATTTATGGCAGTCATGAAATTTGCTTCATTTATAGATACCTTGAAACTTGAACCTTGAACTTGATAAGCCGAAGTCTTAAATGTTATTGAAGAAGACCCCACGCATGTGCTTATCCTTGTGTTGCCGCAGGAGTGCAGTGACCTGTGCGGCTTTTATATGGACCTTTTGCTGAACTGTTTCCAACTGGGTGACAGAGTTGTGCTCACCTCGTTCAGGGCAGCTGCTGTAAAGAGAAATGCTCCAATTGATGCTATCTCGTGGTCGCGGGCTATGCAGAGAAGGGAATCCGAACTCCTGACGACTTTACAGGTTACATTCAGTACCATTCTGTCATGTAGACACTTCAAACTCAAAAGTCCACATCCTCCTACTTGTCGAGGGAAGAACAATCGTGCAACATGCGATTTGAAATGCAAACTCCTATGGAGGTGTATCATTTTTCGGGGTTTTACGTCGAGTTGATACAGTTCCTCCCGAGTCTACAGCACTACTCCAAATGAGTGGATTAAGATTGGAAAGGCAAGCATATTCGTAACAGCAACTTTGTTTTTCCCAACAGTTCCGATGGCCAGATCTGTTTGAATTTGTGCTGATACTTGCCGAGGGGAGAGTTTTTCACTGCTGGTACCTCATGTGAGAGGCTTTGTTCCACGAGGTAGGTTTACATCTCTCTGGCGTCCAGATGGTGCAGGATGTTTCCATCTACGAGCTGCACATCTTCCTCTTTTGAGATGGACCGTTGCACATTTGTCTATCCCGAACTCCATAATGATAGCATGCGTGTACTCTTCCGCCACCCCTAAGCACTGATGGAGATCCTTTTCTTCAGAAGCATAGAGTTTAGGATCGTCCATATGGACGAATGGGTGACCTTATGCCTCAATAAATTTGAACTATGGGGGAATGTTTGTTGTAGGTATGATCTGTCACAAACGCCAGTCATTTATCAATACAATTCTTGTCCATGGTTAACCAGAGCACCTCAACAAACTGAACAACATTATTGTTGCTCGTTCATTGCTTTTCTTGAACCGGTTACCGCGATGAACGGAACTGACACAAGTGGAAAGACCGCGGTCGAAAATTCCCCCACACGAACCCACTATAAATTTCATCGTACTTTCCCATTCACAAAACAGTTGGAAACTTTACCGCTGTAAGCTTCTTACCTGTCAAGACGGCGTCGTTTCTAGAGTAGTGCCGCCGCGCCAAAGTCTAATCCCTGAAATAAAACTATTTTCTCTCGGGTCTCTCGGAAGGGACAAACGGGGTTGAATAATTCAGGGGCAAATTAGGTAAGTTTGTGCGTATTTTGCGTTTATCGCGACACGCAAGCTTTTGATAAATAATAGATTAGATGGTGTAAATCAGGAGAACTTGCTAGTTCGCTAAATGCACTACCACTTTATTATGTTGTCTGCTTAAAGGGTGGAGTTTCTCGAAAGCGAAGGTGCCAACATATTAGCTCACATATTATGTGTTAATTTCAGAACTCTGCATAGGTCACGACTCTGAATATCAAATTATGTCTCAGGACAAATACAAAGTTGATTCAACAGTTTTGACCGTTTATATGAGTCTACTTTAAACTGTAATCTTTTAAATAATACTAATTCACTTTTGCCAACGTAACACAAGTCGATCAATTCCGGTACATGAAATTTGTTTTCGGGATTCGATGAAGTCGACGAATGCCGTTTTTTCCTGATTCTGATTAGCGAAGTTTTTACCGGTGAAAAAGTCATCGCAGTGCTTGAGAACTCTCTAAAACCCAAATTCTGTTATCCCAAATACGAACTAATGACA